AGGGAGGGAGGGAGGGAGGGAGGGAGGGAGAGAGAAACATTAATGATGAAAGAGAATCACTGATCAGCTGCCTCCTGCATGTCTTCTACCTGGGGATTGAGCCCACAACCCGGGCATGTGCCCTGACCAGAATCAAACTGTGACCTCCTGGTTCATAGGTTGACACTCAACTGCTAAGCCACGTAGGCCAGGCTAGCTAATTTTCTAAATTAGATCAAGATTTACTACAAAGATTAGATTGAGAACACATTGCCTAAGTTATTTTTTTAACTGTTGAAATCCCCAACCATTTGATGTACAGATTTAACATAAACAAGATGTGATTCAACAAATATTTTCTTTAACTGATATTTTTGTTTTTAATATTAACATGGTATTTTTATTAGGTATTACAAGAACTGTAAAATTTATCCTGTTTAAACTACCAAGAAAATAGTTCTAGGAGATGTCTAAAATTTGCCTAGAAACTTTAATCACTTTCCATTTTTATTTAAGATGCCAGTGACAGTGGGCGTTCTTATAAAACAGTCCTGGACCGTTGGAGAGAGTCGCTTCTTTCTTCTGCTAGTCTATCCCAAGTCTTTCTTCACCTCTCCACCTTGGATCGAAGTGTGATATGGTCTAAGTCTATACTGAATGCTCGTTGTAAGATCTGCCGAAAGAAAGGTGATGCTGAAAACATGGTACTTTGTGATGGCTGTGATCGGGGTCATCATACTTACTGTGTTCGACCAAAACTCAAGGTATTTTTTTCTTTTTCTAATTCTCAGATTGTAATTGAAACATTGAGATTTTGAATGACCGATGATTAATGAACATTATGTGACTTTTCAGACTGTACCTGAAGGAGATTGGTTTTGTCCAGAGTGTCGGCCAAAGCAACGTTCTAGAAGACTTTCCTCTAGACAGAGACCATCCTTGGAAAGTGATGAAGAGATGGAAGACAGTATGGAAGGTGAAGATGATGAAGTTGATGGTGACTATGAAGAGGGTCAAAGTGAGGAGGAAGAGTATGAGATAGAACAAGATGAAGATGACTCCCAAGGAGAGGAAGAAATCAGGTAAGTCCTAACATGCAATAAAAATGGAGGATTCACGAGTCTTAACTAGACAATCTCTTTACTGAATCAAGTATAAATGGAGTGGTTGGGGTCCATCATTTTTTTAAAAAACTAGTATGTAAAGTAATATAGTAGCGTGAAGTTACCCTTGCTTTATGTATTATAAACATTCAAATTTTTCCCAAGGAAGTATAGTAGCTTTGTGAACTTTGCCAGATCATAAAATCAAGTATGAGTTCAAGGTTGGACAGGATTTCAATAAGACCCACCTCAAGGGTGATTTTACTTAATTTTATGTTTAAAGTAGCAAACAAACAATCCAGAAGATATTCGTAAGATGAAGATAGATGCAGCTTCCCAATGCCTCTATATACAAATTTTGGTTGATCTTGGCAGTCTACAGAGAGAGTGAGACTGAGAGAGAGAGATGCCAGAAGCACATTGTATTTGTTTATACTCCTACCACATCAGCACACAGAAATAGTCTATACTATCACATAACCAAGTGTTCTGCAACTTGCAAATTATGCCACCCACACCTAATCAGTGGGTTTAGGGCCGGGTTATTCCTACTATGCCAGCTATGGGGCAGTCTCTCCTTATTTGTTCCTAAAACCTTGCCCCCTTTTTAATATTTGAATCCCATTCGTGTGGAATCGGGAAAGTGAATGTGAAACAAGGGCAACCTAGAAGTAACAAAGTACAAAAAGGCCACCATCCAAGGAGATTAAGTTGAGAGAACTACCCCATCAGTTTCAGACAAGCTGTTGTTTAAGATTTTATTGATTTTTTTAGAGAAAAAGGGAAAGAGAGAGAGAGAGAAACATTAATGTGAGAGAAACACATTGATCGGTTGCTTCCTGCATGCCCTCCCACAGGGGATCAAATCTGCAACCTGGGTATATGCCCTGACCGGGAATCGAATCCGCCACTTATTGGTGTACAGGATGATGCTCCAACCAAGGGAGCCACACCAGCCAGGGAACAAGTAATTTTTTGTTTTGTTTTGTTTAGTTTTGTTGGGGGGGGGGGGGGTTGGTTGTTTTTTAATATATTTTTATTGATTTCAGAGAGGAAGGGAGAGAGAGACAGAAACATCAATGATGAGAGACAATCATCGATCCTCCTGCCTGCCCCCCACTGAGGCTCAAGCTGGCAACCCAGGCATGTGCTCTGACCGAGAATTGAACCGTGACATCCTGATTCATAGGTCGATGCTCAACTAAGCCACACCAGCCAGGCACAAAGTGTTTTTTAAATAGCTCCAACTGTCAGGAGCCATATTCCCTGTAGCTTACAAGGGTAGTATTGTGTTAAGCATAAAGATGATAAAGAATTTGAAAACTTCTTGGAAATATTTTAGGTAAACTGGAAGTCTGGGTATATGGAAAAATGGATAAATGGAGGCTTAATGGAGTTATTTCATCCTTGTCTCCAACTTAAAGGCAATTAAAAGATTGAATCTAGTTTTGTATTTTCCAGTAGAATCAGGATGGCAAAGAAATTCTTGATTGGTATTCAGGAACAACAGATTTAAGGCTTACTTTAATGGCAGCTGTTGGCCGAAACTGTGGTAATGAAAAATGATAATACAGAGACAAAAGATTTGCATTTTAAGGATTAGTTCATCACTCTTAATCAACATGATTAAGTCTGCTTATTGGTCCTCCTGTAGATTTTATTATAGTTTATCACAATTTAGAATTTGATTTTCATGATGATATCCTGAAATCACTAAGAAAATATTAAATATTCTCTGCATTACGAAGAAATATATGAAAGCACATTTTAGATTTCCATAAAAATTTGTTAACTCCAAGTTTAAAGAATTGAGCATAGGATAAGTCTCATTAATATAGAAAAGTAATATGTAGAACTTATTGGCTGAATACTAGAACCAGGGGAATAGAAGTAATTGTACATTCATCATTGCTCTATATAATAATTGTATTTTCTAACAATATTTATAGCCCACCAAAACGAGGAAGACCACAAGTTAGATTGCCAATTAAAACAAGAGGGAGACTTAACTCTTCTTTTTCAAGTCGTGGCCAACAAGATCCTAGAAGATATACTTCAAGAAGTCAGCAGAGTACACCCAAAACATCTGTTTCTTCTAAAACTACTAGTAGAAACCTAAGGAAGATAAAGTCTGCTCCTCCTACAGAAACTAAATCTTTAAGAATTGCCAGTCGTTCTACTCGCCAGAGTCATGGTCCATTGCAAGCAGATGTATTTGTGGAACTACTTAGTCCTCGTAGAAAACGAAGAGGCAGGACAAGTGCTAATAATACACCAGAAAATAGTCCCAACTTGCCTAACTTCAGAGTCATTGCCACAAAGTCAAGTGGACAGTCAAGATCTCTAAATGTTGCTTCAAAACTTTCTCTCCAAGATAGTGAATCCAAGAGAAGAGGCAGGAAAAGACAATCTGCAGGTATGAAGAAGTCTGATTTAAACTATTCTTACCTAAGAAAATTGAATAATTTGGAAAGATTAAATGTTGGGATATTTTGGGTCATTTTTTAAAGGCTGTCACTAAGATATACAAAGTTTTTAGGGAGCAACCTTCCCTGACGCATAATATTCATTGAAGGGGCAGCTATTTGGAGAAAAAAAGGTAAACTATATCACTAGTATTTCTACTAGTATAGCAGGGTAGTTGTGAGAAATTTGCTAATGGAGAGACTTGGCCAATACTTGAACAGTCTCAGTATACCACATTATGACACATTTCATTCTCTTCCACCTTTTCCTCCTTAAAACATGCATACTCATAATCATCTAAACAAGCTGTATTAGGTTATTTGTTAAGGTTCCTATCTGGCCCTAACTGGTTTGGCTAAGTGGATGGAGCATCGGCCTGCGGATTGAAGGGTCCCAGGTTCGATTCCAGTTGGGGGCATGTGCCTTGGTTGCGGGCACGTCCCCAGTGGGGGGTGTGCGGGGGGCACCTGATCGATGTTTCTCTCTCATCGATGTTTCTGGCTCTCTGTCCCTCTCCCTTCCTCTCTGTAAAAAATCAATAAAATATTTTTTTAAAAAAAAAGGTTCCTATCTGATATACTGAATTTGGGGCAATAGAGAGTTGGGGGCAGCACTATTGTTAGAGTGATCACAATCTATCTAATTCTAATAATTGTTTACAGTAATCTTTATCCACATAATCTCTTTATCCATTTATCTATTTAATCTTATCTTTTTTCTTTAATGTCAGTGGTAATAAAACTTTATTTCCAAAAAATGAAGTGAAACAAAAAATGCTATTATCCTTTGAAGAATTATGTAGATAGGTTGTATTGCATTATTTGAACAATGACAGGAGTAAAGAATTTATTGGTGAAAAATGGGTTATAATTAGTGTACATGTTCTCAGGTTTTGGAGGGAGGGAGGAAGTATCAGGTAATTTAGCTTTTCTTATCCCTTTATCTGTTTTGCCTTTCCCTGAATCTGAACTTCAAACTAGTAAACCTGAACTGTTTTTATTCAAAAACACCGCTGAAAAAATTTGTGTTGTTATTCATTTGTGAAATCACTATCCTGTTTCTAAGGACAAATAAAGGGGGAATATGTGGATTTACATTTAAGTAGAGAATTTAAACACCTGAATTCATATGTGGACTACACTACTACCCTTTTCTACTAATTCATATACTTTAGATTTCAATTTAGGTATATACTTAGATTTTATGAGAAAGCATCTTGCTTTAAGAAAATTCTCCATATAAAATTAAGATTTAAAGAGGCCTAGTTTCTAGATCTGAAGAGGTAACTTTCCAATTGATATGTTTTAGGAAATACTGTAGAATTGCTTACTGCTATTTTACTGTACTTGAAAATATATTTTTAATAAAATGGTAAAAAATCCACAAACTTTGTGTTCTAGAATTTTCTTTTGTATTACACTCATTTTTCAATCTGTTCCCAATGAATTTTCAATGCAATTGGAAATATATCCCAAATGTAAGTTAGTTTAACATCTCAGTATATAATGTCAATTTTGTTCGAATTTAGTTTATATTTATAGGCCCTGTTTAGCTTGTAGTGATCAAATATTTTGCTTTGTCATCACCTAAAGTTAATTTAATTATTTATTTAGAATCATCTCCTGTGACACTGAATCGAAGAAGTTCAGGCCGACAGGGAGGAGTTCATGAATTGTCTGCTTTTGAACAACTTGTTGTAGAATTGGTACGGCATGATGACAGCTGGCCTTTTTTGAAACTCGTTTCTAAAATCCAGGTAATATTTTTAGACTTTATAAAATGTATTCCTGTACATTATTTAGTCTGCATGACAGTTTTGAGATAGTCCAAACACCTTTTAATCACTGCATTTTTTTAAACACTTGAAAAGTTGGTCTCTATATTTAAAAAAAAAAGAAACAGCATAGTCTCCTCAGTCCTTTCTAACTCTGTGACTGATTTTCTTCCTTATTTTTATTTATTGATTTTTAGAGAGAGAGAGAAACATCATTTTTTTGTTCCATATATTTATGTATTCGTTGGTTGATTCTTGTATATGCCCTTACCAGGATCAAACCCACAACCTTGGTGTATCAGGACAGTGCTCTAACCAACTGAGCAACTCGTCCAGGGCCCTGTGACTGATTCTAATAAATGATGACTGTGTTGAAATAACCTCAATGTTGTTTATTCAAGATAATGAATATGAATGAATATGAATAGAGTTAATTCAACTGAGTACCATTGTTGGTATTTCTATTATGTAAAACTGTGGTTCTCAAAATTCAACATACACCAGAATCACCTGGAGGACTTGTTAAAACACAGATTACTGGGCCCTACCCAAAGTTTTTGATTCACTAGGTCTGGGTTGATGCTGAACCATTTGCATTACTGACAAATCCCCAGATGATGCTGATCATGCTGGTCCAGAGACCACAGTTTGAGAAACATTGATTTTAAAAATAAGTACTCTTAAATAACAGAGATTGCCTAACCTAAGGGATTAGAGTTGGTGCTGTAGTTGTTCATACAATTGACCCTTGAACAGTAACAGGTTTGAACTGAGTCCACATACATGTGGATTGTTTTCTATATATATATTAGAAAATTCTTTGGAGGTTTTCTTACTGCCATGAAGCAATCATAATTGATTACACTAGGTCAGTGGTCGGCAAACTGCGGCTCACGAGCCACATGCGGCTCTTTGGCCCCTTAAGTGTGGCTCTTCCATAAAATACCACGTGCAGGCGCACACGTACAGTACAATTGAAACTTCGTGGCCCATGCGTAGAAGTCGGTTTTCAGCCTGGGCGAGTCTATTTTGAAGAAGTGGCGTTAGAAGAAGTGGGGGGTGTCGGTCGGGTCGGGCGAAGGGAGACACAGCCGCAGGCAGGCAGGCGGGCTGCGGGGGAGGTAACATTGTTTTGAGGTAAGTTCGCTGAGGTCTACCCCTTCCAACTCTCCCACACTCATCTATCTGAAACAAGTATACAAGACGAGTGTGGATGGGAGAGTTAGAAGGAGTCGACCTCAGCGATCGTACCTCAATCAGATTGAGGATGTTTTTAGCAAAGGCCAGCTTAGGAGTACCCTAATTAAGTTAATAACAATGTACCTACCTATATCGTTTAAGTTTAAAAAATTGGGCTCTCAAAAGAAATTTCAATCATTGTACTGTTGATATGCTCTGCTGTTGACTAATGAGTTTGCCGACCACTGCACTAGGCCAGTGGTTGGCAAACTCATTAGTCAACAGAACCAAATATCAACAGTACTTCTTCAAAATAGACTCGCCCAGACCGAAAACCGACTTCTGCGCATGGGCTACGAAGTTTCAATCGCACTGAACGTGCGCCCGCACGTGGTATTTTGTGGAAGAGCCACACTCAAGGGGCCAGAAAGCCGCATGTGGCTCGTGAGCCTCAGTTTGCCGACCACAGCACTAGGCTATCATAAAGCAATCATATTGCTGCTTCTTCGTTATCAATAAATGAATCATTATACTTGTAAACAGATGAATTTCTTGTTCATATTTTTTTCATATTTGATATCTAGTGTTAGTAATATGTATAACATCTACAGTGTTTTGTATCATATAAAACAATATTGATGTAGATACTGACAGGTGACTCATTTCATAAATAGATGATGTAAAATTATGGTATTGATAAATATATATGGTACTCTAAATGTATTAGCCTTATGATTTTTTATAACATTTTCTTTTCTCTAGCTTACTTTACTGTAAAAATATAATATATAATACATATAACATGTAAAATATGTGTTAATTGACTGTTTATGTTATTGATAAGGTTTCTGATCAGCAGTAGGTCATTAGTTGTTATGTTTTGGGGAAGTCAAAAGTTATACACAGATTTTTGACTGTGTGGTGGCTCAACACCCCTAACCCTCACATTGTTCAAGGGTCAACTGTGTGTGTGTGTGTGTGTGTGTGTGTGTGGCACGCACGATGTGATAATGCTAGTGATGTGGTATGCTGTAGTAGAGATAGGACAGTGTTATAGTATTACTAGAGGCCTGATGCACGAAATTTGTGCGTGGGTAGGGTCCCTAGGCCTGGCCAGTGATCAGGGCTGATCTGTGGGGCGACTGGCAGGGCAATCGGGGGCCCCCACTGGCACCTGCCTTGGCCAGCCTGGCACCACCTGTTCCCCAGCCCCACGCCTTGCTGCCGCTGGTCACCTCCCTCTGTGTGGCGACCAGCAGGGCAATTGGGGGGCTCCTGCTTGCACCCGACTTGGCTGGCCTGGGGCCTGCGGGCTGGGGGCAGCTCCTGCATTGAGCGTCTGCCCCCTGGTGGTCAGTGCATGGCATAGCAACCCGTCATTCCACCGGTTGTTCTGCCGTTTGGTCGATTTGCATATTAGGCTTTTATTATATAGGATAATAGAAGTTATATCATGGTCTTTCAGAAATACAGAAGAAAAGGAGATTGATTTGAGCACTTCAGAGGGAGGGAATGGCAGAACTACTTGAAGAAATATTTAGTCTGGTCAGTGAAATAAGATGGAATTTCAACAGTGAGAACTGGAATAAGGGAATTTCAGAAAGGAAGAGGGAAGATAAGTTAAAGACCCAGAAATGAGAATATGGGGAATGATGGGTAGTTTGAATGGAGCAGATTAGCTAGACACAATTAGAGTATAAAGCGTCTTACTTGTCAGTGTTAGGTGATGGTTTCTGAATGAAAAAGTGACATCATCAGAATTCTACTTTGAGATTTCTAGAGCAAGAATGTAAAGGATTGATTCCAACATGGTGGACGGCAGGACTGAATTGGGGAGAGAGAGACTGATCGCACAGGAGTCTTAGTGGCAGTGGTTCAGGTTTTCCTGGCCAAAGAGCCCCTGCTACTGCCACAGACACTCCCCAGGCGGGGCTCGTGCTTGGAAACCACGCCATCTTGAAGGGTTTGCAAGGTCCTTCTTGGGAGGAGGCTGCAGGGAGCAGTAGCAGCTAGGCCCCCAGCCTTGCCTCCACCCAGAGTAGCCATGCCCCATGCCTGAACCCATGGGCACCCCCAAGGACACATCCCAGACCCCATGCACCTGCCACAGATACCACCCCAGACTGCGCAGCAAAGGGGAAGCCAGTGGGACCTCGCAAGCCTGCAGTTGATACCTGCGGGACCAGCTCTGTGGGGGAAGGGAGTACAGCTCAGAACAGGTACAATCCAGGTATGAGACTCAAGGCAGACCCAGCCTCTGGGCTAAGGAGTCCACACCTGCTGGACTATTAGGAGCCTCAACCTCTTAGACCTCAATCAGGTTGCCCAGGGCCAGAAAGAGACAGTGACTCATAGTGACCTGCACCAGAGCAGCTTCCAGGCGGCCCAGGATAGACACAGCAAGGGACCAGATTCAACATCAGAGGAAAATCTAGCAAGCGCCACAAATAGCGGACCCAAAGGTTTTTGAGTGTGTGAGTGTGTGTGGTTTTGTTTTTTGTTGTGAGTGGATTTTTTTGTTTGTTTTTTTCCCCTTTTATTTTCTTCTCGTTTTTCTTGCATATCTCTAATTTCTCTCTTTCCTTTGATTCTATTCTACTTCAGTCTGTTATTACTGTTATTATTAATTTTTCTTATTTTGTTTTTATTTTTTCTCATTTTTTTCCCATTTTACTTTTACTTATCTATATCTTAACATACCCACTATTACTTGGTTTTAAAATCACCATGATCATTTCATTTATATTCTGTTTCCTTTTCTTTTTTCCTCCTATACTAGTTCTTTTAGCTCCCTTCTTGCTTCCATATAGCCATTTTTTCATCGTCTTCTTTCTCCCTTTTTTTAATATCCCCTCTAAGTCTTTGGTCACCTGTCTTTTAGTATTCTTTTTATTTTTGCTTTGCTTTGCTTTCTCTTCTTTTTTCTTCTTAGTCTTTTCTGTTATTGCATTGAGTAGCTTAATTTTTGTGTTGTTTTTGGTTTGGTCCTCTTGTGTGTTATTCTGTTCTGTCAGCACCTATATAATAGCTGGCACAACGATGTAGGGGTTGAACTTCACTGGCAGCAAGTCAGAGGGGATCCTCCCACAAATGGGACATCAACCATCAAGTCCCAATTATAACAAGAGAGCCCAAATAACGTACACAAGGGGCATTCCTAGAGTATCCAGTTCAGGTGTACAAAGAGACTGCACCACTGGGCCCCTCGACACTTTATACATAAGGCCATCCCACAAAGACTGGGAGGCATAACAGTTCTATCTAATACATAGAAGCAAATACACAGAGACAGCTAAAATGGGGAGACAAAGAAACAACCCCCAAATGAAAGAAAAGAAGGAATTTTTTCTGAAGAACTGCTTTGAGTACAACCCTCGTAACACAAGTGAAGCAAAAGCAACCTATCAGACATAGAGTTCAAAGTAATAGTTATAAAGGTGCTTAAGGAGCTTAATGCGAATTACAAGGAACTCAGTGAGAATTATAGCAGTGTATAAAAGGAAATAGAAACCATTAACCAGAACCAGACAGAAGTGAACAATAACATATCTGACATCAAGAACACCACTTGGCTCAGTAATAAACAATATTTACATAGATTTTTTTAAAGAATATAAAGTATTAACAATGAATAGCATCTTATAAAATTTAATCTCAGTTTGACTATTTTTTAAGATTTTTTTAAATTGATTTTTAGAGAGAGAAGAAGGGAGAGAGAGAGAAACGTCAATTTGAGAGGGAAACATCGATTGGCTGCTTCCTGCATGCCCCCTGCTGGTGATCAAGCCTGCAACTCAGGCATGTGCCCTGACTGGGAATTCAACTGGCAACCTTTTGGCACATGGGACAACACCCAACCAACTGGCCATATCAGCCAGCGCTCATTTTGATTCTTAATTCATTTTTCCTGAGTAGTTCTTGTGCTGACTTAAGTTTTGTTGCATACATGTTTTTCTTTATTACAAATGCAGTAATATAATTAAAGAAATATTTTAATATGTTTTTATTGATAGTTTAGAGAGGAATGGAGGATAGAGAGATAGAAACATCAATGAGAGAGAAACATCCATCACCTGCCTCCTGCATCCCCCCTCACTGGGAATAAAGCCCAAACTTGGGCATGTGTTCTGACTGGAAATGGAACGGGGGACCTCCTGGTTCATGGGTCAATGCTCAACCACTGAGCCACACTGGCCAGGCTAAAGAAATTTTTATAGATACATATATGTAAGTATATATAAAGAGAGACAGAGAAAGCACACAAAACTATAATTTTTTTCACAAAAACTTTTTATAGTATCAAATAGGCTTCTACAGCATTAAATGACTGAAATGTATTATATGGTTTTAATGAAATAATAGAATTCAGTGGTTAACACAGTTGCTTTTCAGTGCAAAACCTTCATTTATTTGACCACTTATCTCTGATAAACTTTTTATAGGAGAGATAATATTTGAATTATCTTACAGGTTCCAGACTATTATGACATCATCAAAAAACCCATTGCCTTAAATATAATTCGTGAAAAGGTGAACAAATGTGAATATAAATTAGCATGTAAGTAATTTATATGTTTATCTTTTTGTTTAAAGAGGTAGAGGCTATTTTTCTTTTTACCTTTATGATAAATTAATGCAATTGTGTAGATGGCATCCCAAGAGGTCTCTCAAATGCTTGTCCATGTATATGGAAATGAAAGACGGATAAGGATTAAGTGAGTTAAAGATATTTTATAGACTCTGATCTTAACAGAAGTTACTTACTGAAACTATGCAGTTATGCCTAATTGCATAGTTTCAATAAAACAGTTTTAAAGTATTTATAGTTAAAGAGTTTTAAGCTTCGGTTCTACTACCTTGTTTCCAATTTCTAAAGAAAAAGGTGGGCTTCTGTTCCTTAATGACATTTCTAGATATGATACAAATAAAAGGTTTAGTTAGAAGTTATAAACTTTCATTCTAATCTCATTTGTGCTTTTCTTTCCAGCTGAGTTTATTGATGATATTGAATTAATGTTTTCGAACTGCTTTGAGTACAACCCTCGTAACACAAGTGAAGCAAAAGCTGGAACGAGGCTTCAAGCATTTTTCCATATTCAGGCTCAAAAACTTGGACTTCACATCACAACTGGGAATGTGGATCAAGTTAGCACTCCACCAGCTACAAAAAAGTCACGAATCTAATTTTGTCCTTCTAAAGGATATATTTGAGGAAAACAAATTATTCGTGAAATGGAACATTAAATCATGCTACAAAGCAGACATATATGTATAAAGCAATAACAACTGATTGACCACTTTGAAGTGTGGCCTGCACTATATTCTCAATTTTAATATTAAGCACTCAGGAGAATGTAGGAAAGATTTCCTTTGCTACAGTTTTGTTCAGTATCTGATAAGTTTGACAGATGTATTGGATACAGTACTGGTTTACAGAGGTTTTTGTACATTTTGAGATCATTCATGTGTCCCAATATCTTAGAAAATATTTTTTCACCTATGATTTATTTTGTCATTGATGACTTTTCTTAGACATGTGGTATTAAGAGAGATTTATCTACACAGATAAATCTTCTGTTTATACACAGAAAAAAAAGTGTATATGTCTAAAAATCTTTAATGAGCACATTCTTTCAACACTACACATGAATGAATCTAATTTTATATCCTTGAAGTGCTGGACCAGTGCTGGCTAGAGGTATTAAGTCTGAGTTTATTAACTAGATATTTATTTAGCATTCAGAGTTAATTTGTGAATTTGTTTTGTATTTATAAAATTTGTACCTGGAAAATGTTCTTTAATTTTTTAAGCGTTTTATTGTTTTTGTTTTATTTCTCTTAACTTCGTTAATGAGCATTGAATAAAAGGTAACACCCTTCCTTTTCCCTGACAGTTCTTCCAGTTTTACAGAATAAATTTCTGTGTACAACTTTTTAAGTGTACAAATAAAGTGATACATTTTTTCAAATATTCTGAATTTCTGAAATTTTTACAAATCAGAGTTGGACTTCTGTACATGATACATACAGACCATAGGAGCCAATGTTTTATTGTACCTGAATCTTAGAACAGTGGTTTTCTACCCAAGCCCTTTAGGAGTAAGATACCTCCAGTCAGTAACAGTGAACATTCTATGGCAGGGGTTGTCATTGAAAGGAGGAAAGTAAGTTTGGAGTGTGCCCACTTACTTAAAAAATACCACTCTGGCTGGGCTGGTGTGGCTCAGTGGTTGAGTGTTGTCCTATGAACCAAAAGGTCATGGTTCAGTTCTTGGTCAGGGTACATGCCCAGGATGATGTTTCTATCTCTCCTCTCTGAAATCAATAAAAATATACTTTTTTAAGGAAAAGAAACACCACTGTGGAAATTTTTTTTAAATGAAACAAAGTGAGAGAACCAAGATGGCAGCATAGGTAAACACCTGTACGCGCTGCCTCCCACAACCACATCAGAATTACAAGTAAAATATAGAACAACCATCACCCAGAACCGCCGGAAAGCTGGCTGAATGGAAGTCCTACAACTAGGGAGGTAAAGAAAAAAGCACACTGAGACTGGTAAGAGGTGTGGAGACACGGAACAGGCTGGTCCGGCACCCGAATGTGCCACTTTTTTAATCGGGAGGGAGATCACCTCTGCAGAGGCCGCCTGGAGGAGCAAGGGGTCCCAGCCCCACATCTGACGCCCAGCCCAGGGACCCAAAGCTGGGAAAAGAAGTCCCTACAGGCAGTAGGAACTACAGACTATAAAAACCATTACAGATTGGGGCTGAGTGACACAGAAGCTGCTGAAGACCTAGCTGCTCCTCTTAAAAGGCTGAACTGAATTTACAAGCTCCTGCTCCCTCTGAGCTCCAGTGCCGGGCAAGGCTCTGGGGGACACAGACACATAAGGGCAGAAACTGAACTGTCTGGCATTGGGGCAGGAACTCGGGGGTGGCTTTCTTCCAGATGGAGGTGCTAGCATTGTTCCTCTGCTGGGACCTCCATGGTGCAAGGCTGACTGGGAGCCATTTCTGATTGCTTCGCCCTGGTGATTCCCTGAGACCCCACCTCAACTAATTTACAACCCCACCCAAGCTGTGTGCAGCAGCTTTTGCATAGGAATGGTCTGTCCTTTCTCAGGCTAAAACCTATCAAACAAGCTGCAGCTGGGTCAGGAAGCCCCAAACCTATCAATAAAAGGCCCAAGCCCCAGCACCAGAACCAGCCTGCCTTGATTCAGAGCTGGGCCTCATCTGGGCACTTCCAAATCTAATACAAAGAGGAGAAATCTGTAGATCTCTCTGTAGCTCCTGCTGGGTGGCCCCAGGCAGTAGCTGACTTTGCACCTCCATGGAGACCAAGAGCCAGTGTACTCGGTGGTCAGAGTGAGACCATACTGGACTACAACTCTTCACATCCATACGTGACACAGTCCAGGGGCAGACTCAGTGAGCACCAAAGCCCCACTGAAGCAAGTCCTGCCCCAAGAGGGTTTCTCCTGCATAGCAGCTCTTCCACTGTAGGCACAGCTGGTCCTCATGGCTAATTGGCCTGGAGGTCAATTCCTCCCAGTGATACCAACAGCAATCAAGGCTCAACTACAACAAGACTGTGCACACAGCCCACAAAGGGATGCACCAAGAGTGTCC